AGGTATTTATCAATGATCAGATCAATGAGGCTATCGTTGTCTGTGGTAGCATTAGATACGTGGAGGAGCGATCTGGAAGGCTTCTGTTCCATGGGCAAGGAATTACGCCACTTGCAAGGTGACTTATCGGCCTCATAAATCTCTGAAAATAAGCCATTTATTTTGGTACTATGCATTTGTGCCTCTATTCTGCTTTCAGAATCTTTTTGGGTACCTGGTTGAATCATATTTTGTGGTTCATGTGGAACTGAAGCGACAGGATAAACCGAGTCTTGTAGTCTGGAAGTGCTGATCGGCATTCTAGGAATTGCGGCTTCAGGTAACTCTGCTGTCTCGGTTGGCCATCCTTTGGAGTCTTCTCTGGTACCAAAAATAGGCGTAACCTCTGAAATCTGAGTGCTCGTGTTTGGGAGTACTAGGAGTTCTCTCAACTGATCATTAGGTTGGATTTGTTTAGGAGGAAGATTCACATACTTTGTCTCTTTAGACAAATGGTCTGAATTTATTCCGGTTTGGAGTTGCATAAGTGTCGGATCATCTATTGGAGGGCTGTTCTCAAGTGAAGCTGATTTGTGGGCGCCACTCACTTTAGGTGTAGGAGAAATGCTGGTACCGGTGATTTCTATATTTACCATCAGATTTGCATTGACATGGCTAATAGCTCTTCTCTTCACCCTCACTGGCGCCGCAAGAAAATGACATTTTTTTGCTATCTCCTTGTCAGCCTCGTTTACCTGACCTTCCGAAATATCAAACTGTATCAACTTGCATTGACCAGAATTCGCTTCGCTTCTGTCCGCTTGGCTGACTAAGTCGTCCTTTTGGTGGTAGGTGGGATTGCGTTGTATGACTGAATCATTTGATCTGGCTTGTTTCACGCTATTCATGTTCCATGTCATAGTGTCACATTCATTAAATTTGTGGAAGGCACTTCTATGTTTCGATAGAGTGCAAATGTCTGTCAGCCGCAGCTCAGCCTTGTCTGGCCAGAGATTTCGTTGAGCTGACTCGGAATCCCCTATTTTCACCGACACTTCGGTGGAACTGGACCTTTTATGATTGCCACTTGAATGGCTACAGCAAGAGTTGGCCTGGAAGCCGGGACTCGGCAGGCCAACTAGTCGACCAGGCCAACCATACACGAAGCGCAGGAGCCAGGCCGGTGGTCGAGTGTTCATACGGCCGCGATGGTGAACATTCAGCACGAGAACAGCGCAGACAACGGACAGCGAAGTGAGGCCCATAATGATGGTGAGGTAGACCCCTGGGAGATTAAAAAGTATGTGTTCACATTGTGCACTAGAAAAGAAAGTAAAAGCTTCTCATTACATTGGATTGATTTCGGCAGATGCCACATGACTACGGAAGATAGCCGTAAATACTTCAAGAATATAGAATAATGATTTTCTTTTCACACCCTATAGATATTGGAGCTGTTTCGTTGACAACAAAGCTTTATCCAACCTCTTCCAACGTATAAACCATGCTTTTCCGTAGCTGCCAGTAATTATATGCATACAATATTTAACAAAAACAGGTGCTGCTATCGTTTGTAATCAAATATATACTCTTAGAAGAACACAATTTGTCAGCAATTCCTGAAATGGTTTCAATCATTATTGCATTTGTACTGGCAACCCAAACTTAACTTTATCGTTTAAGCTTTCGCTAACTGTCGCTCGACCGCTAACTTCGTAATTTAAGCCAGAATCGCTTTGCTACTTGCTTCCCTATTTTTGCCTGAGATCGCATTCTTAGATCCGCTTCTTTGAACCACTCGTCCCTATTTTCCTTAATTATGAAGCCAAATCTCTTTGCTTTTAATATTGCTATATTGGATTCATTAGTAAGGTATACGCTGAATTTGAACATCATCTAA